ATTAATTTTGTTCTGACATTATATGCAATAATATATACTCATTAAATCAGGCCTGTCCGATTTCAGCTTCGGAGCCAAAACGCCATCGACGCAAAAAAATTCAATGTAAGATTTCAGGGACTGTAAAGTGTTGATAAGCGTGATTACTCAGACGTATATCGATACTTTACAGTTCCCGAAATCTTATCCATATGATTTTAGTTTCCGGAGCTGAAATTGGACAGGCTTACATTAAATTATTCAACTGTGCGTGTCTACAGTTAAAAATAAAATGGAATCGGATTATACTCAGAAAAAAATCTGCTTCAAATCGACGAGAAAATTCATAGAACAATCCACTGAACGGATTACATTGTTAGCAAGTGCATTAACGGTACGGATCATTGGTATGAACGCGCACGCTACGCGAAAACATCGCGAAAAATCCGCAATCGGCGAGGCGACGTCCGCCGTGACGTCTCGACGCTGTCGGCGACGAAACGTCACGGACAATGCTCGTTTTATTACGAAGTTCGGCGACGGAGAAACGGCCGATTATTATTCGCCTCGCGTTGTCATATTCCATTAGCGTCGCTGCCTGTTACAGACTCCGCTCAGCTTCGCTCGCGCTCGCGCTCGCTCTCGCTCTCGCCTACGCTTTCGCATTCGCTGTCGCTCGCTCAACCGCCGGGCGGTTAGTTCGAGGAACAATTCACAACGCGATATAGGAATCACCCTTCAACCGCGTGCTGGAGATGACATCGATACTCGACTTCCTCTCTCTCTCCCTCCTCTTCCGTTCTCTCGCCGTGTCTTTCTCTCTCTCTCCCCCCCTCTCTCTCTCTCTCTCGTTCTCTGTGTCACTGCTCTCTCTCCCATCCCCTCTCTCTTTCTCTCGCGCGCGTTACTGCATCCGCGTACACCCGCGTATCGACTAAACTTCGCGGCGACGCCGACGCCCGCAACGATTAGCTGCGTCGCGGTGGCGAATGTCGGGAGTTTCGTTCCGCCGCGCTGCATTTAACCCCTTGACGCCCGGATTTTCTCTTCTGCCGTGCGTACAAGTGGATTACCAATAAATCAATCCGCGTGAGCATTTCGATCCGCGGGAAACAAATCGAGAAAAACAATTAGCGAATACGATTGCCGCGTTTGCCGATCGCCCGCAGTGTTCCGCGACGAGCGATTACACACAGCTTCACTGCATTATAAACCGCGGAAGCGAGTTCACACATCATTCACGCGAGAAAGCGCGTGAATTGATCGATTCTTGCTATGACGCTTATTCGTTCTTAGACGCAATCAATTGGATAATTATTCATCATTGAATACTATTGAAAAAAATAATTGAGATTAATCGAACTCTTGAAATTTAAATAAGTATACAAAGATAAATCAAATATAACGGGAATTTTTTTTATTATTTATTGAACGAAAAAATAAAAATATAAAGAAAACAAATTATTTTTCTACATAGTTTCCTGTTACATTAATACATTTTTGCCAGCAGGTAGGGAGTTTGGTGATTCCGTTTTCATAAATAGTAGTATGTTGTATCTGCAACCGATTGCGCACGAATTCCTCTATATTGGCATCATTTTCGAATCGTTGTTCTCTCGATTCTTCTTTTAGTGATCCAAACAAATGATAATCGCATTGGGACAAATCTTTCCACGTGATTATCATTTATTTGGACTGCTGAAAGAAGAATTGAGGAGGATAATGCGATTCGTGGACGATGCCAGGAGAATTCATGGGCAATTGGTTGCAGACACAACTTACTACTTTTTATGAAAACAGGATCGCCAAACTTTATATCCGCTGCCAAAAATTTAATGTAGCAGAAAACTATGTAAAAAAATAATTTCTTTATATTTTTATCTTTGTTCAATAAATAATTTAAAAAATCACGTTTATATTTGATTCACTCTCATAAATATTTAACACGGACGAATTAGAGTAAAAACCTTGTGTGGTAATTCGTGCGTTATAATTTAATAAAGTATTATATTTAAATCGTTCTTATATCATTTAATATGACGATTGCATGTCAAAGTTGCGGAGCTTGTTTAGTTAATTTAGTATAAAAACTACTTGACAGTTCAAATATGGAAATTGGAAGATGCTCTGTCCGCTGCACACTAGAATTTCGTGCGGACACTGCATACATAATTGATTGTTTGAATTTTGGATATTGCTGATGATTGGCTTGGACTGAGGCGAAACGTCTGATCATCTTGTTAAATGATGTAAGAAGAATTTAAATACAATTTACTTTATTAAATTATAACGCACAAATTACTGCGCAGGGTTTTTACTCTCATTTGCCTTTTTATTGAAAATTTACCGTTGAAAAAACTCGCAAACAGATATAAACTCCGAAAATACTGTGTGAAAATATCATGAATTGCCGTATCCTGTATAATTGTTACAAATTACGCAAAATGATTATTATATCGCACAGACATCTATACTTATGAATTTTTATTGGTCTAAATTTCATTTATTAGAGCATTCTCTACGTGTAAATGACCATTTATCGTTTTATTTTTTTTTATTTTAAGCCAGATTTATAGTTTTTAAAGACAATAAATGAGGATGCTTTATAAAATAAATTTCAGTGTTTGCGTAAAACCAAAGATCGACTTTGCTTTAGCTTTTCAAGCAGCCTTACCTAGCATCTTCAATTGGTTCCGTGAAATACTCACCTCCTCTTTCTCTAATAAATCAGACCCTCCTTCTCCATCTCCTCAAAGTGCAACAAACATCTACCAAATCATCAATTTTCGGACGGCCTCATGAAATGCTCGCGGACCGACGTGTAAACAATTTGCGCAAGTAGCCGCGATAATGGAGGAGCAGAAGGATAAGGGGGATGAGGATAAGGTACAGGGCGGCGGCGCTGAGAGGGGGAGGGGGTGTTTGGTTAGCTCACACAAAGGACGAAGCGCACCGCTGCGCACACAACGGAATCAGCCCGCTACTCTAACAAGGAACATCCACAAACCACCCCTCTGCGAGGGGCTGGAATGGCGAAGGGATAGTGGTAGGGACTTGCTACAGGACCTCAACGGTTTGCGGAACGTCCGGAAGTTAGCGACACGGATACGAGCAAACGTCTTGCAGGAGCGGGCATGATGGAAAATGTTTTCGGGATGAAGTGATTTGTAACGAGGAAGGGTGTGTTCCTGAATTTAGGATTATGTTAAAATTTTTATCCAAAATTGTGTTAGAATTTTATTATGATAAAACCTAAAAAGAAATTGCGAATTTCAATGAAATTTGAAAAAAAAAAAAAAATGTTTGCGCGCCTATATTTTACTTCACTTTAATATTTTAATTTTTAATTCCTAGTTAACTTAATGGATGATAGAAAATTAATAATCAAACATGTACAATCCTCTTCCTTTTTTATATACCTCTTTACTCAATATTGATTCATTTGAACAATCTCGCTATTTTCCTGTTGTCTGTTCAATTTTCACTTTTCCACTTCTACCATCTCACCACAAGAATAGAACAACTTCCTCGAATTGGCGAGAGCTGTTTCTTCTCTTTATATTAGTTTTTCTTCGCTTTTCCCGTTTTCCTGTCTTTCTTCTTTTTTTCACCTTTTTCTTCTTACCTCTCCCCTCTTGATACTTCCTTCCTTATCGGTTCTAGCCTCGATTCTGCCCATTCCATCTTCTTGCCTCCGGCAGGTATCACTATTCCCGTTTTCTGGCACATCCTATTTCTTCCTCTCTTGATATCTCTAAACACCCTCGATTTCAGAAGCGTACAGCATATCACTATATACGTGGCGCTTCCTTGACGTTTATTATCGGATCGTTTAAGTCGATCGTAACTTATTTTAATTCCTTATCTTTCTCTTCTACGGGAACACAATTGCGTTTGTCACAGCAGCACGATTACTTGCAGCTCTTAATGACAGTTCGTGATTCATGATTTGCGTATCTGTCATGCTGTTGACACCCGGAAAATTATCACTTACGTACGCGATCGTAAGCTGCTACAGCGCAGAACAGCGCGCGGATCAATATCGTTGCACACCTGTTGCACGACTTTTGAATCACTCTGTACGATGAATACGGCGGCCGTCTCAGTTACCATCGCGACGAAAACAAGAAGAATGTGAAAATCCTTGTCGCTTGATCGTCCGCCGCGCGACGTCGCGGCGCATTCATTATCAATCTCGCTACGGGCCGGCTCAAAGGCAGCGAAATTAATAACTGTTTGCGGAAACGCTGAGCGGAAACTTCGCGCTTCGCCCATAGCCATCTTCGTTTTATTAATCCGCGTAAGCCGCAAACGGCCTGCGGAGCGGTGCAGCGCAGCGATGAGAATGCACTTTACGCTTATATCGTACGGCACAAGTCGTGCATGCTGCGATACTCGCAATCGCATTTATTATTATTAGAACTTGTTTCTTTTGCAAGCGTAAACGTCGATATGTGTCTGGATGAAGTATGAACTTTTAACACAATGTTGTTAAAAACGACGCGACGAGGTTTCTTTTTAAAGTTTTATCTATTCCACTATTATTTCCATATATAAAATCAATATCTGCTTCATATTTTATCCACCAAATTTAACATAAACTTAAAATATATTTGAATTTCATATTAATTAGCCGTTAAAATATTATATTAACAGAGTTAATATAATATTTTAGTAATTATTTGTGTGTGTGTGTGTGTGTGTGTGTGTGTGTGTGTGTGCGCGCGCGCGCGCGTGTGTGTGTGTGTGTGTGCAATTCAATATCTAATAATGAAGAATATATATTTATATAATTCATTAAATATAATAATTAAAGAAAGAATTAAGTAATATAGAGCTGGGTAAAGGGCGAAAGATAGATATATATTTAGTTCATTAACTTAATATTTTATCTTATAATCTTTAAATTCTGCTTTATATATTAATTAATTGCACAATTAATTAATCGTGATTTATTTTTCTATTTTACTTCTATATCTTTTTCATGATGTTTTTACTAATCAAGAAATCGTTGTTTTCAGATGTGAATATGGTAGCCGAGCCAAAGCCTCATCAAACTGGACGCAAGCGACAGAACG